TTTTTTTTTTTTTTTTTTTTTTTTGCGCTAGGTCGGACATCCCCTGTCCGGTCCGACGCCCGACCAGACGTCCGGTCGGACGTCCCGGACGGTCAGGGGGGTCCCGGACGTCCAATAAAACAACCTAGAAAAAAAGATTGGTTCCTTTTCTTTTAAGATAGACATGACAAACCCATGTCTCCTTTCCTTTTCTCCCTTTTCTTTTCCCTCTTCCTTTCCTTAATTCTTCCCTTCCTTTCCCTTCCCTTCCCTTCCCTTCCCCTCCCTTCCCTTCCCTCCCTCCTTCCTTTATAATCCTGCCTGCCTTCCTCCATCCCTTCCTCCCTCCCTCCCTCCCTCCCTCCCTCTTCCTCTTTTACTCTCTTCCTTCCCGCCTGGCTGCCAGTCAATGTGCCTGACTTCATAATCATTCCTTCCTCCCGCCCTCCCTCCCTCCCTCCCTCCCTCCTCCTCTCTCCTACCCTTACTTCCTGCCTGCCTGCCTCCCTGCCTGCCTGCCTAACTGACTGATTGTCTGCCTTGATAACACTCCCTCCCTCTCTCGCTCTCTCCCTCCCTCCCTCTCTCGCTCTCTCCCTCCCTCCCATCCTCCCTCCCTCACTTCCTCTCTCCTCCTCTCCCCTACCCTTACTTCCTGCCTGCCTGCCTGCCTGCGTGACTGACTGATTGTCTGCCCTGATAACCCTCTGTCCCTCTCTCCCTCCCTCCCTCCCTTCTGTCATCCGTCCTGGATATATCCGACCGCTGCTACGGCGAGGCGTGGATGCACTTGAATGCAATTACGTCCACAGGTAAGTTCTGAGTATGCCCCGATAGTCTCATCTTCATATGTAGAACGTACCTTGTGCCAAAATCTTGCATACAAAAGATGAAGGACAGAGTGCTCGGCGCCGCCAACATACAAATCAACAGGCCCCCAATACCTGAGAGAGATCATTCATCACAGGAATACAATGAAGCGCCAAAAGAAGCGGCTCAGCAAATGAGTGGGAAGGAAGCCCCAAGAAATAACCAGATAGCCAAAAAGCCACATGGCAACGTAACCAGATAGCCAAAAGAGCGAGCAATGGCGGGGAGTGGGTATGCAAATCAATGCAAGGACGAGCGGTAAAATAGCCATATAGCCAAATAGCCACATGGCCAGATAGACACATAGCCATAGCCACACTTTAGGTCTCTTTGGGTACCCCGTTTATTTGTTCTTGCACCTCCCCTTTTACTGTGCCTCTCACATACAAGGCTCGCCGCGTTGATTGTGGTTGAGCGCAAGCTGCCCACATCCCCGCGTGCCATAACGTTGCCACATAGCCATAGCCATAGCCATAGCCACATAGCACGCCACTTGCACCGCATAGCCACATAGCTCTTTGTGCTTAGAGACAGGCTAACATAAGTATATGTAGCACAATTTGATGATGACTGAAGCCACAGACACTGAGGGGAAACCAAGGGATAGACAGAAGCAGGAAAGAACAGGTATATTGGGAAAAAACTTCAAAAAACTTCAAAAAACAGACTCACCTTTCTTTAGCTGGATCCACAAGAGCCTTGGAGTTGGTAGGGTCCATGAAGCGCAGGTAGTACCTAGAATGGAGATAATAGGCATACCCACACACTCACATAGACATATCACAAAATAGCCGCATGGTAGCCACATACCCAGATAGCCAGATAGCCATAAAGTCACATAGCCACATAGCCACAAAGCCACATAGCCACATAGCCACATAGCCATAGACAAAAGACTTTCAGTCCGAAAATGCAATGAAAAAACTCATATTTGGTAACAAGTACCATAGCCACATAGCCACATAGCCATAGAAGTGTCCGAATATGGAATCTGCAACGATTGTTCATAATAAGAAGTCCCGGCAGACAAAAGCAGATTGGGAAAAAGACCAGGTGACAAGCAGATGAGAGAGGAGGAGGAGGCAAACCAGAGAAAACAAACTAGGGACAACGTGGGAAAAATAAAAGAAAGTGGAGGGACAAAAAAGAAGGAAAAGATGAGGAAGCTCACTAGTTTTGACCATCCCTCTTCTCCACAAAACTTTTCAGCTCAAGAACCAAAGAGGAAAAATTATCAAAAATCTGGAAAAAAAGTACCTTTTCTGAGCACCAACGGCCTCTCTCTCTCTCTCTCTCTCTCTCTCTCTCTCTCTCTCTCTCTCTCTCTCTCTCTCTCTCTCCTACTGCCCTACTCCCCGCACCCAACGTATACACGTAGGGTCTCTCTGCATATTGTGTGGATGTGCCATAGCAAATCCTGACCAGCAACAATGCAGACTGTTTGGGGTTGTGTTGATTCACTGATAAACCGCAGGCTTCCCAGAAATGGAATCCACAGTGGGAGGGAGGGGGTCTTGGAGCGGAAGGCCTACTTACCAGCAGGACCCAGCCCATTGTGGCATAGTGTTCGTTTCACGAATCGCAGGCTTCCCAGAGACCGGATCCACAGTTCTGACCTGTCAAACATCAGAGAGAGAGTGTGTGTGTGTGTGTGTGTGTGTGTGAGAGAGAGAGAGAGAGAGAGAGAGAGAGAGAGAGAGAGAGAGAGAGAGAGAGAGAGAGA